GGAGGGAGAAAGGGAGGGAGGGAGAAAGGGAGGGAGAAAGGGAGGGAGGGAGAAAGGGAGGGAGAAAGGGAGAAAGGGGAGGGGGAGGAGGAGGAGGAGGAGGAGGAGGAGGAGAGGATGGGAGTAAGAGAGGATGAAGGAAGACATGATGTTAATATAACTGATTAGAATTTGGAAAAGATACCATCAGAGATGGTACTGCAAGAAGGAAGGAAGGAAGGAAGGAAGGAAGGAAGGAAGGAAGGAAGGAAGGGGAGGAGGAGGAGGAGAGGGAGGAAGGGAGGGGGGAAGGGAGAAAGGGGAGGAGGAGGAGGAGAGGATGGGAGCAAGAGAGGATGAAGGAAGACACAATGTTAATACAACTGATTAGAATTTGGAAAAGATACCATCAGAGATGGTACTGCAAGAAGAAAGGAAGGAAGGAAGGAAGGAAGGAAGGAAGGAAGGAAGGAAGGAACGAAGGAAGGAAAGAAGGAAGGAAAGAAGGGGAGGAGGAGGAGAGGGAGGAAGGGAGGGAGCGAGGGAGAAAGGGGAGGAGGAGGAGAGGGTGGGAGCAAGAGTAGATGAAGGAAGACACGATATTAATACAACTGATTAGAATTTGGAAAAGATACCATCAGAGATGATACAAGAAGAAAGGAAGGAAGGAGGGAAGAAAGGAAGGAGGAGGAGAGGGAGAGAGAGAGAGAAAGGGAGGGAGGAAGTTAAGGAGGGAAGTTAGGGAGGGAGAAAAGAAAGAAAGAAAGAAAGAAAGAAAGAAAGAAAGAAAGAAAGAAAGAAAGAAAGAAAGAAAGAAAGGGTTCCCATTGACTTCGCTTGTCAGAAGGTCGCAAAAGGTGATCACATGACCCCGGGACACTGCAATGATAATAAACATGAATCAGTTGCCAAGTATCAGAATTTTGATCATGAGACCATAGGGATGCTGCAACAGTTATAAGTGTGAAAACTGTCATTAAGTCACTTTTTCAATGGTGGTGTAACTTCAACAGGTCGTTAAATGAATGGACTACCTGTATTCTCTTTTCCTCCCAACTGCAATACTTAATTAGTTGATTGTCTTCGGGGATAGGAAAAAAAAACAGAATGACTGAAGCAACAATAAGCTCATCTAGTTTTGATTTTGATTTTTTAAAGAGCCCTTTCCAGATCCAACTACCCTCTAATCATGCATGGCCTGGAAGCAGTGACAAATTATTGGTGCTATTTCTAACACAAATGCCTGGCATTTTGTGTAGTGCAGCACCTTTGCTGCTCTATGAATATGAAATACGGTTAATATATTATATGGCATGTGTCTTCCAATTCTATCCGGGGCCCAATTACTCTTCGTGGGAAGTTAAGTAGGCAACAAGCTATACGCTATAGAAAATACTTGTGGTAAGAGACAAAAGAAAGACGAAAAAAAGGACAAACAAAATAACCTAACCCCCTCCTGTGTTGGCTATCAACCCTGACTGGGTGTTTTTGTCCTTAAACTTTAGAGAACTTCATAATTATACATTCAGTGTCACTGAGATCCGCTGTGTAATTACACAGTTCAGCTCCAATGACCTTAGTTCCTGTGCTGGTACGAGGCGCAATGTGAATTAAAAATGGAATTTAGGGCCAAGCGTGAGGGGAAGGAATAGCTTTTTTTCTCAGGCAGATGGAAACTCAAAATGCAATTCCTGGTTACTGCATTCGGAATTAAAATTTAGGCACATCCTGGGATTTGTTCGTTGCGATGGAGCTGGAAGGGATCACCCAGTCACATCTTTGTTTCTCCAGGTTCAGGATCACCAGATGGCCTTCTCCTTTGTCTGGACAAATATTCTTCAATAGGATTGGTATCCTATCTCTTGTCGTTCCTGTCCTCGTTAACTCTGGAGGATTCTCTGTGAGATAGCAGATGCTTCCCCCACCGAAAGGGGAGAAAAACGATTCCTGAGGAATAGTCAAGGTTCAAATGATTAATATCCCAGATGTTCACTGACAAATGGAAAATTAATCTGAACTCTGGATTATGTCAGTGGAAGACCCTGGGGCACATTAGATGATGTCATCAAAAGCCAGGCTGGGATTCCTCTCAACTACCACCTATTTCTGGTGAAACACGTGTGAGGGCAGAAGAATAGATAGCTTGATACACTCACCCAGTTCCACCAATCCTACAGTCTTGCCATTTTGTCACTACCATCTTCTAACGCATAGTTGAACACTGATAGATTGACATCACCATGGCACCATTAGAAAAGGACAATAAATCAGACACTACCGTGTTTCCCCGAAAATAAGATAGGGTCTTATTTTCTTTAGACCCCCGAAATAAGCACTTGGCCTTGTTTTCCAGGAGGTCTTATTATTTTTGAAGTGGAGGAGACGGCGAGCGTGGTCACCTCATGGCTGCTGCTGTGTTGCAATATTTTGGGGGAGGGCTTATTTTTGAGGATTATTTTACCGGATGCACTCAGAAGCCCGATTGGGGTTATTATCGAGGGAGGTCTTATTTTCGGAGAAACAGGGTATTTTTAAAGCATTTTCCCCTGCCTATTCGCCCAATGCAGCAGGGGGGAAAAGATGCTTTAAAAAGGAGAAAAAAAGCTTCTGACGATCACGTGGCTCACACCTGACTTGTGCAATCCTTGGAAGCTGGTTTTTTTTTACTACCGGTTTGCAGAACCAAGGACAATCGTCCCTACTGGTTCGGCTGAACCAGGCCAAACCAGGAGGATTTCACCCCTGAGTCCAACCCCCTGCTTAGGCAGGAAATCCTACACCACTTCAAACAAATGTCTATCTTCTTAAAAACCTCCAGTGTTGGATCACTCCACTTCTGGAAGCAACTTGTTCCACTGATTATTTGTTCTAACTGTCAGGAAATGTCTCCTTAGTTGCTTCTCTCCTTGATAAGTTTCCATCCATTGCTTCTAGTTCTACCCACAAGTGCTTTAGAGAATAGCTTGACCCCCTCTTCTTTGCGGCAGCCCCTCAAATATTGGAACACTGCTGTCATGTCATCTCTAGTGAAGAAGGCAGCTTCTCCTCGAATTAATGAATAACATTTGTTCTGAGGACTTCCTGGTTCTTGCACTTACTTATTACGTTGCTTCTCTCCTTGTTTGGTTTCTACCCATTGCTCCTTGTTCTACCCTCAGGTGCTTTGCAGAATAGCAATAGCAATAGCAATAGCAGTTAGACTTATATACCGCTTCATAGGGCTTTCAGCCCTTTCTAAGCGGTTTACAGAGTCAGCATATCGCCCCCACAGTCTGGTTCCTCATTTCACCTACCTCGGAAGGATGGAAGGCTGAGTTAACCTTGAGCCGGTGAGATTAGAACCGCTGAACTGCAGATAACAGTCAGCTGAAGTGGCCTGCANTGGCTGCTCTTTAGAAGGCTGGATCCTGAAGAGGAAATGCAAAGACTTTGGCCACCTAATGAGAAGGAGGACGGACTCCCTGGAGAAGAGCCTCATGCTGGGAACGATGGAGGGCAAATGAAGAAGGAGACAGCAGGGAAGGAGGTGGCTGGATGGATCACCAAAGCAGCCAGCGTGAGATTAAATGGACTCCAGGGGATGGTAGAGGACAGGAAGGCCTGGAGGAACATTGCCCATGGGGTCACGATGGGTCGGACACGACTTCGCAACTAACAACGATGACTTTTAACTCCCTTAAAAATCACAACACAACAGGTCTGCCCAATGGGATTTTGATGGTGGGAGCTTGAAGGAGGAACTGGGGGCCACACTCAAGGCAAATAAGTATCTTTGTGGGAGCAGGTGTGTCCATTCTGCTGTACATAAAACAAAATGCAATTTTACTGAGAGTTTTTAATGAGGGTGTGTTTTTGTGTGTCTAAAAATCTTTTTCACTTCCCCCCCCCCCCGGCTCAAAGCCTTAGAGGGGTATTGGATATCATCTTGTCTGACCCTCTGGTCCATGGAAGATTGCAGTGTAGGCTGGACCATAGGCCGCCTATATTTTAGAAAATAATCTTTGTAGCTCTGGGTTGATCTATGGGGTCCTTGGTGCTCTCTGAGCTTGATGGTTTTCTTGCAAATGTTTCATGACCCAAGTAGGTAACATCATCAGTGCTAGAAGGGAGTGGAGTTTGTGAAGTTGAGGAGGACTGTGGGGTCCTTGGTACTCTCTGAGCTTGGTAGTTTTCTTGCAGACATGTCATTATCCAAGTAGGTAATGAGTCACCTTAAAGGGGAGATAGTGGTGTCATCAAAATTGCATAAATGAAACTAGGTAAAATCTTCAGTGCACTCTCTTCTGACACTGATGGCGTTACCTAGTTGGGTAAAGAAACATCTGCAAGAAAACCACCCAGCTTAGAGAGCACGCCAAAGACCGCGCAACCTACATTTTGTAATGACTTTGTTGTCAGATAACCGCGCCTCTTAATGGTTTGTTTTGGATTTTTTAAATTATTGCATACTTTAAAATGGCTTTTAAGTCCCTTGGCGCTTCGAAAGATTAGATAGTTACAGATCTAAATCAAATAACTCCAAGCCAAAAAAAAATACCCCACCATCACTTCACAGCTTTAATATCACTGTTCAGATGTTCTCCATCATCTATTTCCTTCTCATCTCTGTAAATTCTATTCAAGCAACATTTGGGGGGGGGGGGGCTTGGTATCCTACCCATGTTTCCCTGAAAATAAGACAGGGTCTTATTTTCTTTTGGCCTCCGAAATAAGCACTTGGCCTTATTTTCGGAGAGGTCTTATTATTTTTGAGGTGCAGGAGGTCGCGAGCATGGTCACCTCATGGCTGTTGCTGTGTTGCAACATTTTTGGGGAGGGCTTATTTTTGGGGGGAGGGCTTATTATACAGGGAGGTTTTATTTTCAGGAAAACAGGGCATCTCTTCCAATATTTGAAAACAGTGACCTGGTCTTTCTTGTGTTCTCCACACTAAACCTCTTAAAACCTTTCATGCAAGGCTGTCTTTCTGTGCTCCG